TAATCATTTATGAAGGCTGTATTTCTCATTGTCTTTTTGTATTTTGTAATAGTGAACATTTATTAACATCAAATATCTGTGCATATATTCCATTATTAGTTCTTGTATTTTTACTTTATTGTAAAGGTATTAAATTAATTATTATTTATTAATATATTTTTTTTATCAATGGCTTCACTTAATAATATTAAAAATAAATGTTTCAATTAGGAATTGAAATTCCTTTAGAGTTAAGTAAAAATGTGTGCTTTATTTGAGGTATAATATTTTGTTTTGTTATATAAACGTGGAATTTATCATTTCATTTTCCTAGTATTATTATTTAGTGTCTAATTCTATGTTCCAAGTTGAAGGTTAAAATATACGTTCTGAGTTCTGAGAAAAATGTGTGGAGATATTTAATTGAAACGCTACTGTATTTTATAGCCAGGATTTGAGTCTGTCGCTTCTAACTGGCTTTACCGCTAAAATAATTGCTGATATCCTGTTTTTTAATTCCTTTATTTTTGTTTTGTAATTTTCTAAAACACTTATGCGATAAAAAATTATTCTCAACTGATAGAGGCATCAAAATTGTATTTTGTCTAGAGCGCTAAAAGATTTAGGACCGGATCTGGACAAAGCATTGTAAGTCACTCCCAAAAAACTAATCCATACTTCACGTATATCCCCGTTTCTAACGTTTTGTCGATAATATTACATATTACAATGTTCTTTTATAGTTAGGGTGCGCGTATAATACACATTTACCCCAAACCGAGTAAATCTATCCCCAATGAAAGTTGTAAAATATAACCTTAATATTACCATCCAATATTTCACTTTTAATCGATTCCTTACGAACCATATTTTTAATACGTTTATTTTTGTTATTCAAATCAAATATATATATTACAAAGTAAAGAAAATTCTTGCACACGCGTTATTAAATCATAAGTAGAACAATAAATACTGATTCTATTACGTTGATTAATAAGTAGAACTAGTAGAAGTGAACAGTGTCGTAACAAGGATAATTTAACATTCATAAATTAATTAAAAATTATTTAATACATGTACAAATGGTATGTTTGTATTTAAGGTTAGAATTACATACAAATTGAGTGAGTGCCTACTAATACAGTGTGTTGTGACGTTGTGACGAAAACATTTTGCATAAATGAGTATTTTGATCGAATTTTTGTTTCTTTATTCTATTTCTATACAAGTTTTACTATTTATTTTATTGTAGCAGGTCTTTCTGAAATGTAATGTGGATGTCTTATGATTGTACACGGCATAAAAGTATGCCTGGAATAATATAAAATTTAAGTATACTGGAAACATGAGTCACTTGTTTTAATCGTCAACGGCTAACAATCGGATATTCAAAATTCTGTTAACAGCTCACATACTGAATTATATTTCTGAAACAATATAATTGTACAATCGTTCAATTACTAGTCTTTCCTTTATACATCATATCCGTATGGTTAATATGGCAGTGGCTTTTTTAATATTCTTTTCTACATAATGTAATATGATACTTCGGCATATGTGTAGGAAGCATTATTTACAGTGTTCTACTTTGATCAGACACTTCAGTAGTTAAATAAAGTATATTTTCATATTCCAAAGAATAAGGTATTTTAGAGTGTTGTTGTAAACAAAGTACAACTAAAATATTCAATACAAAATTCCATTAAGAGAGATGCTATATAGACATTATTCATTCATTACATTACCTACCGAGAAAACAGACAGTAAATATTTGAAACTTTAATTCTGCGAAATTCAATTAAAACTTCCTTATCTTCCTAATAAACTTCACATAGTAGATAAAGGACTGTGTCGCTTTTATATCTATTAAACAAATACTGTTGTACTTTTGAAAAACCAAAATGTGATTTTTGCGTTTAAACAATTAACTAGGTAATAGAGAATGTCATAGGTAAGACACGAAATACTTAAAAAAATTTATATTTTGACATATCTAAATAATACAAACACTGTATGTGCCTACAATATGACTCATACAAGGGATTTAATACATATTTAGACAATTATATTGATAAATTAGTTACGTACGTATTTGTTTGTCTTATCTTTTTAAAGCAAATATTTGACAAACCTTGAGATGTACTTTGAAAAAGATATTCACGGTCTTTCCGTTATTTTGCATTCACCATTTGCTATTAAATAGTTATCGTGCTATGAGTAGCAAGACATATTTATTTAATTTTTTTGTTAATTAAACTTATAAGACATGTAAAAGATTATTCTTTTACAAAATTTGAATGAAACATGTCTAACAATAAGTTAACTTCTATTTTCTCTTGTTATTACAGGATTAAATAACTGTAAATTGACAAGACAATTTATTGGTACATGGAACAATGTACCACCTTTAATACTTTTTTATGAAAAACAATTTATATGGCGGATCTGTTTCTTCTAGATCTCAAATACATTCTTCCATGTAGCGAATACGTGATACATTTGCGATATAAAGAAAATAAACTCAAGAAATTTATTAATGTAATTTAACGTTTTCGTAAAAAAGTGCTTTTATTTTATATCAATATCTGATTAAAAAACTTTTCTGCGTAAAACTCGCCATTGTCAAACAGAATTCCTATGACATGAGAAAATAAATATTAGGTATACTTTTTTTATGAATATAGATAGTTTAAAGATAAATTCATTTATCTTATTGTGACTAATTTTTCCCACAATTAAATTAATCGATACATTTCTTATTTCTAAATGTACCCACAACTGTGTAAAATATACCGTTCTGGTAGAGCCGGCTATAATAAGAAATAAAGAAATCTTCAAACAAATAATAAGTATTTAGTTATGTTTATTCGTATGTAATATATTAAAATGAAAATAAAAAATGTTTGTAAATAATTTATAAACTATAGTTTGTAAACTGGAAAATTATTTTTTATAACCATAAAATATCATAGCAGTTGCACAAAAGCTGTCTATACATTTCTCGGTTAGATTAGTACTTATGGAAACCACAGTGTTATGTTAGTAATAGGTACTTTGTTTATGTAACAGATAGAATTGATTTAAATTAAATGCCATAAAAGTTGGTATTTAAAAAAAAATAACTTTCTGCGCACATATTAATCAAATACAATGCTATCTATTACTAGCGCATTAATATATGTTTTTAATGATAAACCCTCATATTAATGTGAAAAAAAATTAAAATTTGATAAATCAACCCTTTCGCGAAAGGGATTGATTTCATTTTTTTTTATTTTTTCAATGGGCAAGAAAAGAAAAAACTAAAATTTTGTTGACGTGTTTTCAAAAACACAATGACATAATAGCACACCAATTTTAATCACATTTCAAAAGCTACGTTTTAGTATCAAGAAGAGAGAGTAATAAAGCAAAACTAATAATAATAAAATATCACGAATTGCATAAGTCAAACTTTACCTGATTATAGAATTTTTCAAAATAAGAAAAAGATCCGATAAACTTTGTTGGAAAATTCTTATCGTAAGAGTTTATTCTTAATTTTCGAGATACAGGGTGTTTATGTTAAAAATCTTCCAAAGTTCTTTTAGATAATTTCAAAACGCCTAAAGATAAATGATTGAAAATTTACACAGATACTCCGCTGTTTATCCTTTATAAGAAGTAACAATGAACTGGAATCGCTCAGAGATGGGTGAAATTGGTGGATCTAGGTATAATTTTACTCTCCTGAAACATTCACTTACTTAAGACAAAATTTTTAAAATTTGGAGACTTACACAAAGAACATAATTAATTGTTACCAAATATAAAAGTATTGTAATCAAATTTTGTTTTCCTCGAAGTTGTATTCAACAATGAATATCCCTACTTCCCTACTATTATAAATGTGAATGTAAGTTTGTTTGTTACGCTTTCACGCGAAAACTACTTATCCGATCATCATGAAACTGTACACATATTCTTGGAGGTATTAGAAGAAACATAGGATACTTTTTATTAAAAAAAAAAAAAAATATATTTTTTACGAAAGATTTTCTATATTTATTGTTTCAGGTTAGGTGTCATTTTTGTGATTAATTCGTGATTTTAATTCTTACTCTGTTCTTCTTTAAAAATGCCTCGAACTTTTTTGTTTATAACAATTGACTGACCACGCCGAAAAATATAAAAAAAATATATGTAAATTATCAGAAAAATACACTATAAAATAAAAAAAGTTTCATGCTGTAGGTTTTTGTTTTAAAAATTTAGTCGGTTCATGCCTTTTCTTTAGGGGTGAACCGCTGGCCTAAAATGACAATGAACAAGCATCATTCGGGGGGCATATCTAAAATTTTGTCCTTACTTCGGTGTGGGTGTGATATTTTGTTCACTTTTTTAGAACTTTTAATTTTTTTCATTTCATACAAAAATTGTTATAATTCATTTGCTTCATTTAGAAGCATCTTTTTAGGGGTGAACCGCTCTCCTATTTTTTCTCATTAAATAAAGTGTGGTTTATGTAATTTGGTACACCCTGTATTTACTCAGGGTTCGTAGCGGCCGGGAAAACCGGGAATACCGGGAAAAGTCAGGGAATTCGTTATTCTTCATAAAAAACAGGGAATAGTCAGGGAATTTTAAAAATATTCATGAAAGTCAGGGAATTTAATGTTTGCAACTGGAAATTTTGTGAAAGCCGGCCCTGTGTTCTTGAAAAAGAAAACTATTTGTGGTTTTGAAACCTTTATAAGAGGTTCTTAGGATATAAAAAAGATTATGGAGTCCAGTCGAGAAAAAATTTAATGCATAAACACCAATTAGTATGTAAAAATGAACTACAAGTGACCTGGATTTTATTTTTATAAGTCAGGGAAAACCTGGAAAAGTCAGGGAATTCTTCATTACTTTTGAACTATGAACCCTGTTACTTGGTGATGCAACTAACACCATTCAATCGTGTAACTTTTTACAATTTCAATATTTTTGCAGCTTCAACCATTTTATAATTGTTATAATATTTTTATTTTTTTTTTCAGACGCTTCAACATGGCTTCCCCCACAAACCCACATCCTTGGCATGGGACTCATCTCTCCGCCTAATCTGCATAGGTACCGCCACCGGCGCCGTCAAAGTTTTTGGTCGTCCTGGTGTCGAATTCTACGGCCAACACCAGAACCCCATACCTGTAACGAAGGTAATTTTTCTTCCAAACCAGGGCCGCGTCGTGACGTTATGCGACGACAACTCCTTACATCTGTGGGAGGTCAACAGAAGTTCTCTGGTGGAGGTAAAGTCACAAGCCCTGGAGGGCAAGTTGAAGAAGATATCCACCATGTGTTTGGAAACGGCAGGGAAACATTTATTGCTCGGCACGGAAGGCGGTAACATATACCTGCTGGATTTGAGTACCTTCACGATGACCCCTGATATTATTTATCAGGATGTCGTTATGCAAAAGTAAGTTGAAGTGTCGAGAATTCAAAAAAACATAGAATATAATTCAGATTCGTCAATCCATACTTGTATACCCAAAATTAACATTTAATATTTGACAATCACATTCCACAACTAAAAAAGAAAAAAGATAGATAAATTGTAGATACTTAAATTTTACCCCAACTCTTTCATGTGTAGATCTATTTTCAGCCAAAAAATGATAAAACTTTACAGAATTTTACACTAAAAGGTATATTCTTGTATCATTCCGGTAGGTTATACCATTTTAGAGCAAAATTAATTGAAATGTTATGTTAAGTGCTAAATATACAGGGTGGGCCACCAGTAACGCCTCGGTGGCTAGGGACCAAACAGCAAATGTTATATAGAAACTTGCTTAGGTGGGTATGTGTAGACTGATTACGGCTACATTTTAAAAATGTTTTACCTAGGACTTATTGTTAGTGAGATATTTCAATATTAGTGAAAATGCAGGCTTAGCGTGGAAATCTAATGTTAGCAATAAAAAAATAATTTTAAGGAAGCAGCTTTGGAAAGTGTGTTTTAGATTCTTGAAATTATAAATTTTATATTTGTCGTCTCTTAGTATTGTACAAGGTATTCAAAACACTGCTGAATACTTCTCTCAACTTTAAACAGCAATAACTTGGTTATTTTAAATGGGACACCCAGTATATTTTTACTCTGGAAGTTAGGAAACTTAAAACCCTTTTGAACTGTGTATAGGTTCCCTATACCTATCTCTAACGGTATTGGAGATATTTGTGCCGTTTCTTTTTTTATTGAATTTTTTTGTAAGATGTACCCACGTGTCTTTATCGAGGTCTTTATTGAATTGGTAAAGTGTAAATCATGACAATATTGAAGAAAGTTTTCTAATGAAAGATATTATTTTATGAACAGAATAATTATAAAAAGTTATTAATTTTGTATAAATATGTTTGTTGTATGTAACTTAATTAGATTAATTAACATAACATAAACAACATGAAACATATTTACTAAAGGAAATTTTACTTTTAGAAGAAACAAAGAAAAATTTTAATTGATGAATCTAATACAGCATCTTATTCTATCTTCAAATGATATTCTCACATTCCTTAGAATATTTGCGGTGATTGTAGCAAGTGCACCTCTAATCCTTTCCTTCATATCATAACAAATAGTAGGTGGATCACTGTGTACAAGATTTTTTATATAGACCTAAACAAAGAAGTCCATTACAGTGAGGTCTGAATACCTAGGTGGCTACTGACATGCACCATTCTTACTTATCCATTTATTACTAAATTTTCGATTTAAATAATTTGTCACTGAATATGAAAAATTTGAAGGTCATTTAATTGCATCCTCATTTTCTCCTTATATTTAAAGAGACGTCATGAAGAAGAATCCAAACCAATTCAATAAAGACCTCGATGAAGACAGGTGGACACATCTTGCAAAAAAATTCGATAAAAAACGGAACGGCACAATGCCGTTAGAGATCGATATAGGGAACCTATTCACAGTTCAAAAGAGTTTTAAATTTCCTACCTTGCAAAGTAAAAATATACTGTGTGTCCCATTTAAAATAACCAAATTATTGCTGTTTAAAAGTGAGAGAAGTATTCAGCAGTTTTTTAAATACTCTGTACAATACTAAGTGACGACAAATATAATAATTTATAATTTCAATGATCTAAAATACACTGCAAAGCTGCTTCCTTAAAATTATTTTTTTGTTGATAATATTAAATTTCTACGCTAAGCCCGTATTTTCTCTAAAATTGAAATATCTCACAAACAATAAGTCCTAGGTATGCAGAACCTTTAATAAAATTCATCTATTTTTTTATGATGCTTTCAAAAATGCAGTAAAATACAGGGCGTTCCATTTAAAAATACATAACTTTGATATGGTACGCTTTTCCTGGACACCCTGTATATTTCAAAGTATTTTTAAAGAGTAGCCGTAATCAGTCTACACATACCCACCTAAGCAGGTTTCTATAACTTTGCCGTTTGGTCCCTAACCACCGAGGCGTTACCCACCCTGTATGTAAGTGTGTAAAAAATATTAACTTATATTATTAAAATCGTAATAATTATTAATAAGGTAATCTTATGGTTCTGTCAGTTATAATTTTTTATACTGAATATTTCATTGACCCTAATTTCGTGAGTTTATTTACATCATATATTTTGCAAAGTTATATAAATTTTACATCAGATAATTTGATGTGGAAATATTTTATTAAAATATTTAATTTTGTGCCAGAAATTGTCGTAAGAAATTTTTACTTGTTTTGCTCATCATATTGAAAAAACAAACAAATTACTAAAATGCGATGTAAATCCCTTCTAATCAATGCAAGAATAACTATAAAATATCTATACTTTTAGAGGCATGTAGACAACCTTCATGTTTCTAACACATAAAGAAAATATGATAGTGTCTGAAACTATCATATTTCATTATATCCACACATTTTACAATGCCAATTAGTAATTTCATCTATACCGGTATACTTTTGCTTTTATTCCCTTTCTTCTCTTTTTGGTCCTTCGTTCTTGTTGTTCGCTTTTTAAATTTGATTTTGGTCCTTTAACATTGCTGCAGCGGGCATCTTTTCTGTGGATCTGTCCAATAAAGTGTATTTTTAATGATTTCAATTGCCTTCATGGTTTCATTTTGCTGTTTGTATGTATAAACGTTCCAGCTGTTGTCACCTCTTTCTCCCAGTAACAGTCAGTAAATGTAAAATCAGTATCACTCTCATATCTCATAAATTATCAGATTGATACAAGTTAATTATTTTTTTGGTACTGTAACAAGATGAAATTTATGTTTTTATTGAAGTTTGCAATACACAAACTCAAAAATTCACTGCTAAGACTTTACCAACCTGTGTTCCTAATATTCGTTTGTGACACAGTCATACATACAGAGTGTTACAAAAAAAGTGGATCAAGACGATAACCACGACATATTCTTTGGTTGAAAATAATGAAACTTTCTTTGCGCCATTCTTTTATTAGACATCTCAGTTTCAATGTACAGAGTCAAAAGTTAATAAAAATAAATAACTCTGTTAATTTTTAAGATATTCTCTTCCTTCCACGTATAAGGAGGAAAATGTTTGTCTCTTAAATCTTATCATGAAGCACATCCAGTAAAAACAGTCACGGGCCGCTACTGGATATAATGGTACTAATATTTATTTTAGCTGACAATGCCTGAGAGTTGAATGACCTTTGAGTCACATGTTGTTTTTTGGAAAAGGTTGCAAATAATTGGTAAATGATAAATGGTACATATTCCAATGGAGACTTTTTGTTTTAATAGAGCGTTATAGCACTAATCCACATCTAAATTTCTGCAGCATGTCTGCAAAATTTAGAAACAATTATAAAATTATTTTACATTTTGTATAAATTGTTAATTCGAAAACTTGATGGACGTCATTTAACGATCATAGAAACACACTAAAAATCAACACAATCAAATTTCGGACTCGAGTGTACCCAAGTGTCAAATGTGCCTCGACACAACCAACGTGTGCGTGAGATAGACAAACTTATACATATGCATATGTAAAACAAGGATAAATAAGATATTTTCAAAGTTTTCTTGCAGAGGTGCCAATTTATTTTTATGACTAAACATGACACTTTTTTCTTGTAAAAGTCAGCTCTTTGTATTTCGTATGTAAAAACACAAAATAAGTGATAAATCTAACAGATTCCTTAACTAACAAAATTTCAGAACTGCATCTGACAATAGTATCCACCTTTTATTAGGTCTTATTTAGGTTGTTTAACTCTCAACAATTTTTAGATGGACTTTATGTTCATATTCACTTATTTTTAATTTGTAGAAAGCGTTGGTAAAATATCGCACTCTATTTTCAGGACACTGTATATATTCCATCATAAATTAATGTTACATTGTTCCAATTGCAGTGTTCCACAAGATTATAAGCTTAATCCGGGAGCTGTTGAGTCCATTTTCGAACAACCAGAGCATCCGAACAACATCCTTATCGGTTACAACAGAGGATTAGTCGTGCTTTGGAACAGAGCGGAGAACACTGCTGTTAAAACTTTTATTTCAAACCAGCAGTTGGAGTCGCTTTGTTGGAAGGAGGATGGCAAATTCTTCATTAGTTCACATAACGATGGTAAGCAAACAAAATACATACAGATAAAATCATGAACAGAAACCAATAAAATATTACCTTTAAAAAAAAAGGAAACTTGTAAAATTGATTGTAATAGAGATGTCTCTATGTTTATGTAGGAATTAAAATTTATAATTATTTCTAAATTCATATTTTTTTCTTTTGTATAAAACGCCAATATGCGACCACTTCAAAATTGTCACCAGTTAATGAACCAATAACACACCAGGATACTCTAAACATTGTTGCCAATTTGTCAATTTGTGTAAAAAGTTTATTTAACAAACATAATTTTGAGGTTATGTAACTCTGTTAATTTCATAGAGTTGATACAACTAATCACGGTCTGTCATTTATTTGTTTGTTGTATAGAATAAACTTGTTTAAAGAAGAACATTACAAACGCCTTCTGTTGTATTTATAAACTGAAAACTAAAATAAGCGTTATAAAAACTACTTTTCTTTCCTTGTGCGTCTCCAACTTTTATATTAAAAAAAATTGTGTTATCTTTGCAGGCAGCTATATGGAATGGAACATCGATCAGACAGACAAACCTTGCGGTGATCCAGTCACTACTTACGGGCCTTATTCTTGCAGAACTATACCAAAAATCTTGACCAGAGATTTAAATGGGGAACCACTAGTCGTATTTTCAGGTGGTCTTCCCAGAGCAAATTACAGCGATAAATATTCGGTGTCCGTGATACACGGTGAAAAGCATGTTGCTTTCGATTTTACCAGTAAGGTAAGTCGAGAACTTTTATGAATAAAAAAAATGTTTCCTTGCTTCTTTTTCTGTGTTGGTCTATTAGATTGGGAATAGTCAGGTATTCTGGTTACATTGAGAATATATTCCACATTCTTAAACATTTTCCAAATTTTTTTTAGGTAAATATACTTTGTAGTCACTTGTTAAAGACAAATGGTATAATAAATTCAAATTACTTTTTTTTTAATAAATTGAAAAATTAAAGTATTTTTTACTTGCTGAATAATTCGGTAGATGTGAAAATTGTACAGGATATAATAGCGACAAATTTTTAGGGATGCTTCGTCTCGTCAAACGAAATAAAAAAAATAGAGTAACAATTTTTTTTATTGATACCGAAGGGCTCTAGAACCATTCAAAAATAAGGATGTAAAACATATTTTTTGATCGATGTGTACATATTTCAACAATTGCTTTATTTAATAAAAATAGACTGTACTGTTCATACGAAATACCTAAAAATATTTGTTGCATAATAAAAAAATATTCTCTGTCAACTCGGCGATCCCCCGTCCATTCTCAATTTTTGAGATAAATAATTAATTTTGGGCTTAAAATTTTTGGTTACACATATACTTTTTAATGCCTTGTGGCGTTTTTGACAAATTAAAGAAGGCACTGTATCAATCCATAAAGTATTTATTTTGTATACAAATAAGTGCATATTCGATAACAAATATTTGAAAACGATATAAATATGATTATTTGTTAGTATGCTAATGTTTTCGTGATTCCGAAGTCAAAATTTGAAAATTCAAGATGGGGAATCTAATATGGGTGCCGAAAATTGATTGAAATTTACCTGTTTACCGTTATATTTTAACTTTGATGCGAACTAGATTTTTTGGAATAATGCATAAAATCTTGCAGATATTTTATGTAACTTTGTTAACTTTGTAAATGCCATCGGCGTTAAGATAAACGATATTTCAAAATGTCAATGCTTTTAATGAAACTAGAAGATATACAATTCTTACAAATTGCAAATAAATTAAGTGCCGGCGAATGAGCACGAATTTACGAGATAGATGCCGATGGCATCTACAAAGTTAACAAAGTTACCTACATAAGAAATCTGCAAGATTTTATGCATTATTTCAAAAATCTAGTTCCCAATAAAGTTAAAATATAACGATAAAAATTTCAATCTATACAAAATTCTATATGTTTCGACCTTTTCGGCACCCATATTGGATCCGCCATCTTGATTTTTCAAATTTTGACTTCGGAATCGCGATCGACCCCGAAAACCTGTATGAACCCATTTCCATCAAGTTTCGTCAATCAAATCAGATTTTGAAAGTTTTGACTGCCTTATTGGATCCGCCATTTTGAATTTTCAAATTTTGACTTCGGAATCGTGATCGCTGATCAGTGATCCAGAAAACATTAGCAAATAATCGTATTTATAATGTTTTCAAATACTTGTTATCGAATATGTACTTATTTGTTTACAAAATAAATACTTTATGGACTGATCCAGTGCGGCCATCTTTAATTTGTCAAAATCGCTATGCAGCGTTAAAAAGTAGATGTCTAACCAAAAATTTTAAGCCCGAAATTAATTATGACCTCTAAAAGTAAATATCAACAAACTAATAATTTTTTTTTTAATTTGATGAACAAAAGAATAGAAATAAATCATGAGACACTTAAATTTTAACAAATTTAAAAATTATAAATATTTGATACTCACAGTGCGGTAGTAAATTTTGCCTCGAGAAATTTTTTAAGTGGCTCGTGATTTATTTCTATTTTTTTGTTCATCAAATTCAATAAAAAAAAATATTAGTTAGTTGATATTTATTTTTAGAGGTCGCTCGAAAACATTTTAGGTACTTACAGTATTTTTAAAGTTAAAATAATTATGAGTGACCTTTAGAAATTAAAATATCGATATGAAATTTTCGGAATCGAGATTTTTTTCAACCTAGAAAATGATAAAATAACGAGAAAAAAAATTTAAAAAAAAATTAAATTTTTGATGATCTTGAGCGACCTCTAAAAAAATTTTCATTTTTTTTTGGGCCACTCTAATGTATATGTATATTATTTTCTTCACTCTATTTCATTTTGAGTTAATTTTGAGTCTATTTAAGATGTATCCAATTAATATATTTTGAGGGTGGGTCAATATCTACAATTTTCAAATGTTTTTCACATATTTTCGGAAAAATTGAATGGCAGAAACCACAACTCAAGATCTTAATTATACACAGTACGTTTTTATTTTCAGCCATTTTTGATGTTCAGCAACTTTTTTTCAGTTATTATCCATACTTGTATGTTTTTAAATGTTACGTTTTATACGTTTGTTCTATTTTTTAAATCTATTTCATTTACAAAAAAAAGAATTAATTGTTCAAGTTGTCTCTACAGATCTAAGAATGTACATATTTGTAAACTGTAGCTCAAAATTGCAAATCCTTGGAACAAGTTTTTGTTTAGATGCCATTTTTTGAAAGAATTGTATTAGCAATTTTTTTTATCTGAAATGTAGTAACATGTTATTCTACACCTCCCAAAATCCCCGCCCGTTCCAATACCAATTTCTATAAAGATATATTCATTTTTAAATTTTATATATTTTATGTATATAACGGGTTACCCATTTTCTCCTTGGGGAAGTAAATATAAAAAAGACATCCTGAATATTTAAATTTCGATGGAATTTTTATTTCATAATAAAGTTTGGACTATGCCATTATGTGTGGAAAACAATATCAATTAAATGTCCTCCATGGAATCGTTTGCAGGACTCAATCGTTTTGAGGTATTTTCGAAGACTTTTTGACAATTCGAGCAATAACTTGGCCATAACTTGACGTATCTCGTCCTTCAATTGCTCCAAAGTTGTGGGATTGTTCGCATAAACACGGTCTTTCGCATAGCCCCACAAAAAGAAATCCAAAGGTGTTAAATCGCAGCATCTTGGTGGCCAAGCCACATCGCCGAATCTCAAAATAACTTGTCCTGAGAATTTCACGTGCAATAGAGGCATTGTGTGGCATATGGCCCCGTTTGTTGAAACCACATATCGTTCAGATCAAAATCTTCAATTCCAGGAAAAAAAATTCAATGTTCATGGCAGCATACCGCTTAGAATTAACGGTAACAGTGGCTCATTTGTCGTTCTCGAAAAAATACAGCACGGTGACGCCACTGGCCCACAATGCACACCAAACAGTCACTTTTTGCGGGTTCAATGGTCTCTCAGCTGTCACTTGCGGCTACTCACTACCCCAGATTTGTCAATTTTACTTATTAACATAGCTGCTGAGTGTGAAATGGGCTTGTTATTCTAACATCCAATTGTTGTACTCATGGCACAATCTATGATCAGCCGGCTTGAGTTTTTGTGTCAGTTGGACTTTATACGGATGGAGATGTAGGTCCAAATGCAAAAAGCGCCACAATGTGCAATATGACAGGCCCAAAATATTGAGCTAGCCGTGGAGTCAAAAGATTCGAGTCATCGTCAACACACTCACAGCGGCTATGTTTTCGGTTGAACGGACAAAACGATGATGTACAGGTCTTACGATGCCTGCTACCGATCCAGTCTTTTCGAATTTCCTCACTGTACTGGCGATTGTTTGCTGGGATGGACGATTATGTTGACCAGTTGACCATATTCACTGTGAAATGCAACCACCATTATCGTAAAATAATTTAATAATTTTAACTCATTGTTCGGTCGTAAAACGTTCCATATTGTGAAATGGCAAACCCTTAACTAAACAAATACCAGTCTGGATGACAGTGACTTTTGACAAATGTCTTTTGACAGATCTCGCTTCTATGTATAATATTCAATTCTAAGATCCAAAACTTTTAAAAGATTTATAATTTCATTAATTTTACTTAGCATTTCCCATTCACAATATAAATCATATATTTCTGTAAAAATTAATGGTCAATACAAGTTTTTAACGAAATTTTTCATTCACTGGCAGATTGGAATTGAAAAAAGTGATAATGATAGTGAAGACGAAGTTTTTGGAAATAAGGTATATCTGTTAGCGTTTTGTTGCATATGAGAGGAGAATAGTTTTTGCATGTCATTTTGTGTGTTACGTGAAAGAACTCTTTCATTTCACCATTAACCTGCATGTATCTGTTTAGGTGTTAGCTACCGATATATTTTCATGGCAGCATTCTAAAAACACAAAATGCAAAATAAAAAATTGTCTGAGTATTTTATCTGTCACTTATGCCTGTTTGCACCGAAGTTAATAAGGATTACTTAACAATAAGTCATTCCTAAGAAGGCTTAGTTCGTTGCACCATTCGCTAAGTATGAAAACAGATACTTAAATTTAAGTATCCCTTTAATGGATATTTAAGATGTTATTTAATTTAACATGTTTGGAAGCAGCACCGAAATTGTACAAGCTCAGCAGACATGGGACGGTTAGAAATACGAAGTAATTATTCTGCCTATATTTTGTATTTTTCATTTAAAAGCGAAATACAAAAATGAATGATATATTTGAGATATTTTATTAATTGGATTGGGAGTTTCTTAAATTATACATGGTCTACATGATTATATTCAGTGGCGGCTTTTGATTTAAATACCAGGAAGAGCAGAAAGTTTAGGTACAAAGTTTTGAAAAAGAAAATCAAATATAATCAGGTAGTTTTATTTGAAGTATTATTAAAATATAGGAACAATGTGCTCAACATTATTTTTTTCGTGTAAGTCCATTCCTCTGCTTTTGTCCCAAATAAACTTGTCAATTACTGTTTCATTAAAATTTAGTATTTCCCCTACCATTGATTTTTCAGTAGATAGCATTGCAATTGAAGATAGTATTTACAATCCAATTTAAACTTACAATCTTTTAAAAAAAAACACAAGAAACAATGTAAACAAATTACGTTTAATAAGAAAATAAAGCAGTGAATAGCTATTATTTGGTTACGGGCACACTAAATAGAGCCTAAACTGTATAGTAAATATGAGCTACTCCCATTATATCTACGCGATGGTAACCATGACCACTGTAGAAAACACTTTACAGATTTAGGGGCGATCCACGAGCAGCCCACATATTCAGTGTTTTTCAAATGAATTTTGCAAGTCGAGTTAAACTGACTGCAGTTTATAAATTTAACAGTTCCTTTTCAATGTGTTTCATAAGGCTAATCTATTTAATTGTCTAGATAACATTGTAAAATATGGACGCTATCGACGAATTTAATTTTTATAAAATATTAAATTATTATTATTATATAATATACAGGTTCGGAAAGTACCGATGGTCCATCTGCCGTTACGTGAGAGCGATAAAGTAAGACATATAAATCCAAGCGATAGAGAAGGATGTCTATACTACTACTTGATTGACTACTTGGCTGAGCCACTGGCATGTCTGATAAATATTTGTTTTACTCGCGATGTTTTCCCTGACATTTTTAAAATATCAAAAGTATTACCTATACATAAGAAAGGTGATTTAAATGAAATTGGTAATTACAGACCTATTTCCATCATTGTCATATTTGGCAAAGTCGTGGAGGTAATGCTAAAAAATAAGTTACTTGAGTATTTTGAAAAATACAAACTGTTGCATTCTGCTCAATTTGGATTTCGCAGTAAAAAGTCTACTACCAAAGCATTATTAAGGGTTGTAGAGATGATAGTGGGTTTGAGAGGCATGAACATTCCCTCCAGACAATGTGCGATCTGTCGAAAGCTTTCGACTGTGTTTCGCATAAAATTTTGTTAAACAAGCTTTCATTTTATGGAATCAGGGGTACACCTCTGAATTTGTTTAAATCTTATTTAGTAGGTAGACAACAATTTGTTAATCTTAATAATGTCATGAGTCAAAATTAGAGAGTGTTGAACATGGGGTGCCTCAGGGTTCTGTCTTGGGACCCTTACTTTTCATTATTTATATAAATGACATGCTATTTTGGGAAGAGAAATTGCAACATTGTACTTTTTGCGGATAATACCACTTTTATAAGCTCATATGCGAATGTTGCAGATATAAATCAGTCTGCGGCTCATTTGCTAGCAAACGCAGAAACATGGTTCTCGGCAAATGAATTGCAACTTAATAAAGCTAAAACCCAATATTTGACGGTCTCCAGCAATAGGAGTTTTGTGAACGGCAGCCATTGCAGACTGCTAGGAATTGCTCTAGATGACACTCTAAATTGCATCAACACATAACCGACCTTAGTACGAGACTGTCTAAAGTGTTGTTTCTCTTAAGACAGTTTCGTAAATTATTGAGTCCTCATATTTTAATAAATGTATACTTCGGTTTGTTTCATTCCCTGATCAGCTACGCCACTGTCTTGTGGGGCAATGCAGTTGATTCTAAAAAAATCTTTTGTCTCCAGAAACGTGCAGTGCGAATCTTAGCAAATGTGGGTAGCAGTGAACATTGCAAACCACTGTTCAAGAAATTTNCACCTCTTGAGGGAGTTTATTATAGAATTTTATGCAAGTATAATGGACATTCTTCTCAGTTAATGTTAAATGATGTATGGGAAATATTAAATTTGTATTTCTAGTATTGTAAAAGTTAGTTTGAAAACATTCCCTAAATAAATTCTTATTTTTAAAAGTGAAAAGTAAAATTTCTTGGATATATATGGCAAAAACTGTTAATAAACCATTTGACCTAAATCTTCCACGGCAAGACACACTTTGTACGAGCCTCAACAAACGCCTCAAAGTTATTTTTTGAGAAATGACCAACCTATTTATGTGGATACTTTGACCAAAGAAAATTATTCCATATCGGAATACAGACTCAAAATTTGCATAATAAATCACTTTGAGGGTTTTGAGATCCAAATACTTAGTCAACACCCTAATACTATAGCATACACTATTCAACCTTTTTTCAATGCACTCGATATGAAAGGACCAACTAAGTGTGTCATCTAAGTATATTCCAAGAAACTTCATATTTTCTTCCACTTTGCACTTTAATTTGAAACTGTCCGGAGATATATAGCTGCTTTGTCTTGTTTTAAATAACATAACATTTGTCTTATCCTAATTTACAACTAATTTATTTTTACTGCACCAATCAAGTATTCTATTGTAAACATATACAATTTTTTCTCGTATATCACTAAAATTTGACCCACAAATAAGAACGGTTGTATCATCAGCATACTGGACACAATAACCCTTTGTGCCGTCAATGTGTAGTGGCAAATCATTTACAAAAATCAGAAACAACAGCGGTCCCAAGATACTCCCCTGAGGAACCCCAGTTGTAATTGGTACATACATCGAAGAGCAGGTTATCCCACTTTTAGTAATAGTGACCTTTTGTCTATAAATAAATGTATACTTCGGTTTGTTTCATTCTCTGATCAGCTACGCCACTGTGTTGTGGGGCAATGCAGATGATTCTAAAAAAAATTTTTGTCTCCAGAAACGTGCAGTGCGAATCTTAGCAAATGTGGGTAGCAGTGAACATTGCAAACCACTGTTCAAAAAATTTTGTATATTACCACTGCCCTGTGTATTTATATTACAAACTTTAATGGAAATACATGCTCGCAGGAATATCGTTCCCCGGGTGTCTGATTGCCATAATTATAATACACGAGTTGCTTTGGCGAGTGATCTACTTGTACCTCGACCCAGATCAAATCGGAAAGAAATATTCTAAATATTAAATTATATAATAAACTACCCTGCCATATAACGGATATGAATGAGGGATGCTTCAAGATTAATATTAAAAAAAGTCTTTTATCTCACTATTTTTACTCTGTAGATGAGTATTATCAATCTAATATTTTCTAGATTATGTGGGTCCTGCAAAGTTCGACTATCTTTGGTATTTTGTGTGCTTTTATATTTATATTTATTAGTGTTCTAATTCACTTCACTGTTGACCGCTGTGTGCTATGTGTATACAAACTATGCCTTTTGTTTTCTTGTATTGACTTGCTATAAACCATGTACTTGTGTAAAATAGCCAAAAAAACTATCTATCTATCTATCTATCCATAATGAAAGCGTCTCATAGTCACCGCCCGTTTCGCCCTTCCACAAATAAGATCCACTTCTTATTTGTGGAAGGGCAAAATGGGCGGTGACTATTAGACGCCTTCATTATAGCCATCTTTCTCTATCGCACGGATTTCTATGACTTACTTTATCGCTCTCACATAACGGCAGATGGACCATCGGTACTTTCCGACTCTGTATAATATACATTACGTTTTTATGCATTGGATGGACATTTAAATACTGTTCGTGATTTAGGAGGCATTATCAAGACAATAATTGTTTTATCCATAATTTATAAAAAAAATGCATAAACAATTTCTAGACATTGAAAACTTTGATACTCAAAATCAGTACACTTTACTTCTTACTGTGGTCCTATGATGGGACTATGATTTGAGCTGAACAAACACAAAAATTGAAGGACTTAACATAACAGTAAAAAAACTACTATAAATAACTAGATTTCTGCTTTGTCAACACTAAAAAGATGTACTTAATTAACTATGGTTGATTATTCGGTGCAATATGCTAACAAATTAAGTATAATATAACTTTTAAGAAGAGTTTTATTAAGTTGTTCTTAGTATATCGGTGCAAATGGGCATTAAGCTTCAATTGACAACTTAACTTTAAGTTTTCGCTTTATGATTAATTTTAAAAATATAATTTTGTTTTCATCCATGTTTCTAATGGTTTTTCTTTTTTTTTTTTTTTTCTATCAATATGATAAGTTTGCACTTTGATTCTACCAGCATATTTTTTTATTTATTTTGTTCAACACATGATGTTTCGAATTTTGACACTGAATTTCATTTAATTGATAAATCCATAAAGACATAGGATAATTTTTCTATAAAGCAAAGAAATAAGCTACCATCACAAAAGCACCAATAGCAATTTTTAAAAGTTGTACTAATTTTATCAAATTATACTGATTTTGTAACGTTTATTGGCATATAAAAAACTAATTTTTAAAATTTCTGAAAATTGATTTTGAACTCTAATCATTTTTCTAATAAAACATTTATTCCATCGAAAAAATTGTAACGTTATTTCCAGGTAATAGATTTCATCCTCATTGATTCGAGAGCCCATGAAGAAGAAGAAGAACCGGAAGAGGAAACCGAAAATGAAAATGAGGAAGTTATAGTAGCTAATGGTGATAACGAGAAACGGGAGCCTGAAGCCCTATTAGTGCTGGCGGAAGAAGAATTGGTAGCTATAGATTTAAAAGATGAGAATTGGAAGATGATGAGCCTTCCTTATTTGGTATCGCTCCATGCGTCTGCGGTTACGTGCACCCAATATGTATCAGGTACAGTAATTGTATAAGGTGATACTTTGATAATAGGATCTTAACCTGTCTTGTTCAAAAAGTTGATAAACATAGGGTTGCCAGCTTTTGTTTATGACTTTTAGGGGCGACTTAATGAGATTTTTACAAAAAAAAATAAAAAATTGGGGCGATGAATTGTTGATTAACCTAGGGTTGGCGATTATTCTTTATAATTTTTAGGGGTGACTTAATGAGATAATGTGTAAACTGTTTTTTTAAATACTTTTAGAAAATGGCGCAATCATTGTTAAAAAACACTCTGCTTTTTTTTTTGTCAAAAAATTCTTATTTTCTCAATATTACTCATTAGGAGTGCCCGAGGAACTATGGGAACACGTAAAAGATGCAGGAAAAGTACAAACGAGCCACCTTTATTCCAATCGTTCCTGGCCTGTCGACGGAGGAAAGTTGTTGTGTTCAAAAGGGGCCCAGCCGAAAAGAGAACTGTTACTTACCGGCCACGAGGATGGTACGGTGAGATTCTGGGATGCCGGAGGTGTTACCCTAACCCCACTTTATAAATTTGGAACATCGCAATTCTTTTCTGGGGATGACCTAGAAGGTAACTACTCTGAATTTTATAAGTACTGCATAAAATATGACATACTTTTTTTTAGAAGTTCATCCAGATCCGGAAGACCTTGAAGAAGAGTGGCCTCCTTTCCGGAAGACTGGCGTGTTTGACCCTTATTCGGACGACCCTCGTTTGGCGATTAAGAGGGTGACATTGTGTCCTCTTTCTGGCACCCTGGTGGTCGCTGGTACTGCGGGACAAGTCGTTATCGCCAAATTTGACACTGAAGTTCTTGACGGACCCCTTAAACTTGCTTCTATGAATATCGTTAGTGACAGAGACGGGTTTGTTTGGAAAGGTCACAACCAGCTAACTCCTAAACAAGGTAGGTCTGACTTAACTGCATACAAGGTGTTGCACGATTATATCCACGAAATCGAACTTATGTTTCAATTTTGGGCCCAAGCGCACGACCTGTCGAAGTCCAGGTGTTACAGCAATCACAAGACGCAATCTTAATTCTCCTTATTCCCACGTTGGGCATACGATGTTTAAGTGTAATGAAAATTACACTGCGAATACTTTTATTTACCTCCGTAATTAAACTTTGTGCAAGCTTAATTCTTTTGATGACCAATTTGTTGGAACCGTGCCCCAACAACTGATCACCTGGTGTGCTTTAATTCCAAAATAAAATAAAAGCAAAAGTCTTCATTACGATGCGTGATATTTCACCGTTGAAGTGCCGAAGCTAATTTGGAATAAATGAATAAATGAAAATGTTCCGTTAAGATGCTTGTCAGACACCAACTGATTCGAATACTGAAGTCTAACGACTTTTATACTAAATCTTGTACAAATGCACTATGAGTGGTCTCGTGAGAAGAATTCGACAACCGTTAAATTCCGACGACAATATTCATTAAAAGCAAATACAAAATAATGACACCAATAATTATTGAGTACTTGCAGTTGACATTTACCTACTTGACATTACTGTGGTGTGGTGCATTTTATGCCAGTGAAAGGCTTCAATTCATAAAGTATAAAAAAATTTTAAAAAGTCTGATTTGTCTACGATTCGTACCAGGTTTTAATGGAATTGTTGAACACAAGGAATAATTGGTTATTTCCAAATTTTCGATGTTGATTTTCGATTGTGACTTGTCATAGTCATTAATTAAAAAAACTTATTTTTTTCAAGAAACAGTAAATGAAACTGCAATTGCTTTGACAGAGAAAAAAAATGGGGTAAAAATTGTCAAAAATTTACTTGTCTGCAAGTACACAGTCAAGATTAAAAGAACCGTTATGTATACAGGATACAGGTTGTCCCAGAATATGTGGGCAATCTCTCGGACCTATACAGGAGATGTTATAATAACATGACAAGTCCCTATAAAAATTCCCCTAGGAGACCTCCCCTCTGAAAATCTATTTTTTTATTAACTTTTAATATACTTTATGTAATTTAAGTATTTTTTAATACGATTTACATCAGATAAGACTATTTAAAAATTGACCAATGAAAACAATTTGGCTTATTTGGTTTGCCAGGGATGGACTAGCTGTAGCACAATAATGTAATTTTTTTACATCCTTTACGATAAAGGTACAAAATGAATATTTTTAGGTAGCTTAAACCTTAAACTAAGAAAAAGGCACTTGATATCGATAAAATTAACTGTTTTCGAGAAAAAACTATTTTTGTTTAATATCATTTCTATTATATTCTTGAAGAGAAATAAACCGATGAAATTTTATTTACATTTGTTTTTTCCTAAAAATAATTAAATTGCGCAAAATATTTGAAAAGTTATTAAAAATAATAGATTTTCAGGGCCGTCCTTTAGGGATCCGTATATTTGTAGGGGGGCCCTCTAAGGAAAATATTTATAGGTACTTGTAATGTTATTCTAACGTCCCTTGTATAAATCCAAGAGATTGCCCACATATTCTGGGACACCCTGTATAAACAAAAAATTAAATTGCAGTTTTAGATTTTCTGCTGCTGCCAATAACTCTTGTGTTTTTAAATTTGTTGCAAACAATATTAGGTAAACTTATAACTTTTCAGGTGACATACACCAAACTCGCGGTTTCCAAGCCAACTCCATACTTCAGCTCCATCCTCCGGCCGCTATAACTTGTTGTGTCCTTCAAGCAGATTGGGGCTTGGTTGCCGCCGGCACTGCTCATGGACTTGCCCTTCTAGATTATGTTAAAAACAAACCCGTTATGGTCAAATGCACGCTTAATCCAAACGGTAAGTTTCATCCATTGCTTTACCAAAAACGTTTGTCCCAACGTCGAAAATAAATTGGTTTGCAGATCTCACTGGTTCCGGTGATACGCCAATTTCCCGCCGAAAGTCCTTCAAAAAATCGCTCAGGGAGTCTTTCAGGAGGTTGAGAAAGGGCCGTTCAACCAGGAGGAATGCCACTAAGGAAGAGAGCAAGCAACAACCAGCGACTTCGCCCGCGGGTAGAAAACCACCAGGCGCTGATGAGACCTTCAACCCTCTTGACCCCAAGCCAGTCGAAAGACAAATAGAGGCACGTCCTGCTGATGACTCCATGGGTTCCTTTGTTAGATGCCTATATTTCGCGAGAACCTTCCTCGTTAGTGGTAAGTTTTAGTGTTTTTTTTATTTATATGTAATAGAATTGTGAAAGAAAAAATAAGCTAAAAGATACAAATTAATAGCCACAATCAACCTTATATGTATATTTTTATTAGAACAGAATATTGAAAAGAAATTAAAACTTTTGATTAATTTCAAATATACAGGGTGTTCCCTTATCAAACTTTGACAGATAAAGCTCACTTGGATTTATAAAAGGAAATTATTGAAAAACGTGATTTGAGCATTTTACATACATACAAACATGTATTTTGCATAAATTTTCCAATACTTCATTGTAAATTCTTTTCATTTTTTAATGGGTTTTGGATTACTTATCCATTTTGGAGCTACATCGTCATTGATGATTTTTTTTTTTTAATGGAAAGCATAATTTTTCAACTATTTTTGAAAAGCTCCCATTAGTTTTTTAACCTATAAAGGGTGTTAATGAACTTATGTCAAATATTTTTGCCACTCATTTGTGTTGAGTAAAATGTAATTTTAAAATCTACCACCATTTGCTTGCACACAAGCTTCAACGCGACCTATCCAATTTGCTCGCACGCGTAAATTGAGGATTTCTTGTATGTTCCTTGACGTAGTGGAAAATCCTCAGGAATAAGCTCTTGAACATGATTATGAAAAGTGTATAACTGAGCTTCTCTTAATGTCAGCCACACAACAGGATGCGAAATATTTACTTGCTGTGTGATGTTCCTGGTGCGGGGGCAAGTCGTTCAGGATATCTTGTACGGTACACTTGACAATTTCTGTCAGCGTTTTCGTTTGCTTCGACATAAATTATGAGCATATCACAATATTTGCGATGCGCCATTTTCAAAAGAAAATTTGGAAATACGGCTATTAAATGTACTATCGAAAAACAGCACAGCAATCGCTACAACAATGCATTACAAACTGACTTTCAAATACTGGCTTCATAAGAAGCCTATAAACTCGTAAAAAGTATTACAGAATTCTTTGTAAGTACTCGCCGTGATAAAATACATGTATTTCAGCAGTTCCAAACACATTTTTAATTAGCTTTTTTCTCTATAACGTTAAACTTCTGATACAAGTTTGTGATATCAGTTAACTCAGTTTTTACTCCTTTTTCACCCTTTTAAATTTTTGTTATAAGTTCATTAACACATTCATTAATTTCATTATTTTGCGCCATTTACAGAAAAACTATATTAATGGCTCATATTTAAAAAAAAAAAATTCACACAGTACTTTAAAAAACATCTGTTTTAAGTACATAAAACTTGGAATAGATCTTTTCCTACTTCAAGATTTCCGAAACAGTTTTCTTAATCTTTGACGATAAGTTCCGATATGCAGCCTTGTTGAAAAGTTCTTTAAAAGAACTTTAAATCATGAATCATTTTGTACATATAAAATCATCATAAAAAAAATATTAAATTAAAAATAAAAATCGGCATATTGAGCATTTCTCCCATAAAAAAAACTCGACTCATTTTCAAATTTATGCGCTACTTTATAAACGCACTGTATATAAAATAGAGCACCTTTAATGGAACACACTGTATATACCACAGAAATTTTAACTCAAAACTAAATGAATATAATTTAATATAAAAGAATTATTTTCACGTTAATTTTGGGATAATTAACTATGTCTAATAAAGTTTGGTGACGCCAAGGAACACTCTGTATATGTAATTGTTATATTCTGTGGCATTTACGATGTTTATTTATTTTTACAGCCCTCAAATAGTGATTAGTAAGTTTTGGTAAGCTTACATTTACATATATAGGGTGTCCAAAAGAATTTGTGTTTTTTTTGTGTTTGTTTATCCTAACACACTGTTTGTAGGTAAAAATGTGTAATATCCGTTTTGTACATTTTATTCCTTAAAAAATATAAGGGGGAATTCCCCATTCAAAATTAAGGCAATAAGTTCCTATCAGCATAGGTCCAATTTATTTTGTTTTTTCAGGTACAGAATGTTAAAATTAAATAATTTTGTAAAAAAGTATGTACACCATTTACTTTATTGCTTTTCGATGGTTACACCGATAACCTGAATTTTCCTGAATACAATTACAGAAATTGATGAAAATGGTTACAGTCGCCCAAATTTTGAAATAAATTACTAAAAAATTGAAGAAAACTCTTTGCCTTATTTTTGGCTGGAGAATTTCTTTTGTTAGTCAAGGTCCACGTCTTTAAAATACCCTGTATTAAGTACTTAACTAATTAAGAAAGCCAAAAATTAAAAGAATTACCATTTTGTTTGCTATAAGTATTTAACAAGGACAAGGAATATACGAGCGGGGATCCAAAAATAACCAGACGAAATTTGCTGTGTGCACCACTCTTGTAGTTCGGGCTTCTCCTGCTAGATGGGTGTTATGTAACCCCTGAGTCAGTTTGCCAAATGGTGTCGCTTGAGACGGTTGTAGCAAGCCTCTGAGATAGTTTTTGTGTCACCACTATTTTGATCTCTTCGAATTTTTAAAATGTTTGATATTCGAGAACAGAGTGCTGCATTGACATTTTGTTTTCTGCTCGGTAAAAGTGCATCGGACACGGTTGATATGTTGTCTCCAGCTTATAAAAAACATGCCTTGAAAAGAACTCAAGTGATTATTGGTTTTCGCGATCAAATGCGATGACATGTCGATCGAAAATATTTAATACCCGGGTCGGCTTTCCATCTTTTAAAACTGATGGAAAACGTGGAAAAAATTTGCGTGCTTGTGTACAACGATAGTAAGCATACTACTGATGTACTTTACTAAATTATGTGGTCTTTTGTGGAGCTCAGTGCAACACACTTTAACCGAATATTTTTTGCAAATTTGTCCCCCGCTTGTTGACTTCTGATCAAAAGACTCCTCGTGTTGCTGCTTGCCGTGACTTGTTGGACCGTTTGGAAGTGGACAAGAACTTTTTCGACAAAATCTTCATCACCAAGGATACATCGTAGTGCTATGGGTACGACCCTGAGACAAAGGACTGGAAGGCCACGAACTCCCATGACCCGAAAAAGGCCCGGCAAATCAAATTGTCTGTGAAGACAATGTTTTTAGACTTTCGTAGCATTGTTCATTCAGTGTACGCATCGAACAGTGAACCAAGTCTTCTACCCGAAAGTGTTCGGTTGAAACGGCCTGATTTGTGGCAGAGTGGGGACTGGTTGCTCCCCCATGACAATGCTCCAGCTCGCACAACCATCTCTGTGTGTGATTTTTTTGGCAAAAAACCGCATGACATCCCTTCTTCGCCCACCCTACTCACCGGATGTCACGCCCTGAGATTTTTTTTATTCCCCCTAATGAAAAGAGTGTTGAAAGGGAACCGTTTTGCAGATATTCCAGAAGTCAAAAGAAAACCAAAGGCGGCGCTGTAACTCATCGGACGGGACGAGTACAAAAGGTGTTTCGCACAGTGGAAAAGCTTTTGAACCCAAAAAAAATTTATTCTGTATTATTTAAAAGTGATGCCCAGTTATTTTTGGGTCCCCCCCTCGTATATTATGTCTCATAGGTTCTTTATTCCATAATTTATACATAAATGTATAAGTAGGTCCAAATAAAACTTTTTAACCTCAACATACAATATTGGGTAAATTAAAATTTGGCCGAACTTATACGACGTAAATATGGTCCTTGTCTGTTTTAGTACAAAATACAAACCCGACACTGTGGGCCGGTACCAATAACGGTACGGTATATGCTTTCACAATAATGGTGCCTTCAACGTCAAAACGAGAAACAGATGACGTCACTTGTCATTTAGCCAAAGAGATACAACTAAAACACAGGGCTCCCGTCATAGCAATAGCTGTACTCGACGGTTCCAACAAACCTCTCCCCGAACCGTTAGAAGTGGAGAAAGGCGTGGCGCCTCTGCCGGACACCACCCAGGCACACAGAGTGATCATCGCTTCAGAGGAACAGTTCAAAATATTTACGTTGCCTTCCCTGAAACCGTTCTGTAAATATAAACTAACTGCACATGAAGGTGAGCTTTTACAATTTTATAGTATTTTTGTGAACTATAATGTATTTTTTTTCAACAAAACTAATCCGGTGTTTTACATAATATTTATCAAAAGTCAAAACAAATCTTTTTGATGTGGATACAATCATGTATAAAATCGTTTATCGCAGCACAAGTCCATAGAATTGTCGCCGAGTTTAAAAAAAATTCCTATGCTTGTAAGAATTTTTGTTGTTTTGCCAAATTCAGTACAATTTGTAATTATAACCATAAATCTTCTAGACTTGTCGTCGCAGACTATTATTACTTAATAATCAATCGTAAATATAAAAATCTTGACTTTTCTCTAATTTTTGTGAAAAGGAAATGGTTAATATTTGATTCTGGAATGTTTTTCCATTCTCGAATCAAAATTTCATCAGTGAACGCAAAAGAGGAGTTTTGTGACAGAGATCAATAATAATGGTTTTAGGTGCAAGAGTGAGACGAATGGCTTTCGCAAACTTTACCTGTCAGTTAGATACTTCGACTACGATGCATTCCGAGGTTGATTTAATGTGCCTAACGAATATGGGTGACTGCCTTGTTCTAAGCATTCCAGACTTAAAACGACAGTTAAATGCAGCTGCTATTAAAAGAGAAGATATAAAGTAAGTTCTGCACTGTAGAATTTCCAAAAAATCGTTTTTTTTTTCTTAAAAGGTAGTTTGAACCTTCTATAATATGAGGCAAAAGGTTTTATACATGAATTTTTTTTTTTAATTTTGCGTTTTTCCTGAAGCGTGTCGAGCGTCTCTCATACGGCTACCTGCGCTATGAACATACTCGCTCGGAAGGTATCGCCTACTTTCTTACCTATTGATTTATAACTTCTCTAATACACTGATAGATGTCGTTAGGGAATATGCGTGTACAATTCAAGCAAAATTTTCAAACAAAAGTACGTTGGTATAGCGTCAGTGCACGTTCATGTCTAAAACTCATTTTAAAACTTTAAACGCATTTTTCTTGAAACACGCTTTTTCAAAACGGCACGCACCATAATTCCAACAATTTTCAATATTTTCTTTTGAAATTTTAACCATATATTTAAAACACGTACGGATTTTTCGATAAGTTACTTTAAACAATTGTTATAAACAAATAACTGCCCTTTTTTCGTCAAAAATTTAACGTTTTACTTCAAACACTTGCCAATTTTACACAAAACAATATTTTTACAATCCCGTACGTGTTTCTCTAGCTATACTCATGTAGATTAAGAGCAAAATTTTTTTTTGTTCCATCTTGAAATTTGCACTAGTTCTAGTGTGTGCCGCGGAACGCCTCAACGGCAACATGCTTCAGGAGAATGGCTCTAGTGCTGCCATTCTGAAATATTTTTTTAAAGAAAAAAATTTTCTGTACACTTAACACATGCCTTATAACATACTTAAACAGTTTTTTTCTATTACCTTTCCTTCTATTAAAAAATTGTCGAAAACACGCTTTTTTAGGCCGTTACAGTGGTGTAACCCCTTAAAATTTGAATTTAGGTGATCAAAATAATAATAAAAAAACAATTGAAAGAATGTTTTTCTTCGTTTTCTAAGTACAGGGAATTGACATTTTTTTTAATTTGCTGCTTTAGCTGGTGTTTCAAATTTTAGGAGAACTTAACTTACTCCTTACACCCTGCACATCCTAAAAACTAAAATTTCAATAGAAATTTACACCTTACCATCATTACTGAAAAAATATTGTCAAAATCGGAATAGCCATTTGCAACAAAATAGACATTTATATTGGAGCCCATTTTGAGTGGGTAAATAGCTCTAGTCATCAATTTGTCTGCAGAAAAAACACTGGTGTAAATTTTTTAATTTTCTAGAGCAAAAAATATAAAAAAATGCAAAATTTTTGCATTAATGATCTTTTCAAACTTCTTTTTTTCATTTTATTTAACATGTTCTACAAAAGAAATTTTATGACTTTTTTTTTGTGAAACGGGTAGTTCTAGAATTATTTTAGTTTATTAAAATTTTTGGTACTGGTAATGTTAATTAAAAAAATAATCAATGGAAAATGGTCCGTTTCTCGAATAAAATGGGAAATATTAATTTATTAAAATTAAAAATTACAACTATTGATCAGAGTTCTAAAATACCTAATGATGTCGAATTTCTGGGATATATACAGGGTGTCGCGCTTAAATGTAACTTCTTTATTTTTTGTCCGATTTCAAAAATTTCTTTTTTAGAACGTAGGCTAAAAAAAATCTATCTAACTGTGATACTGCTGTTTTTATTAATGCAATACACGGCCAATTAGAACGCGTTCTTTTGATATCAAAATGGCTAATTTGTATTAGCGATTTTTTTCCCAAAAAACAGATTACATATTCTCATTCAGCATTCCTTAAAACATCTTATCACCAAGTTTCATCAAATTCAAAACATCAGGCGAGCACTCCATGATGTCGCGCTTAAATGTGATACAAACTTGAAACTTGTTTATTTTTTTATCCTACATTCTAAAATCATGGAGTGCTCGCCTGAAGATATATCGAATTTGATGAGACTTGGTGTTAAGACGTTTTAAGGGATGCCAAATGAGAATACGTAATCTGTTTTTTATTTCAATTAGCTGTATTGACATAAAAAAAATGCGTCCTAGTTGGCCATGTATTGCATTAATAAAAACAGCAGGATCACGGTTAGATACATTTTTTTTACCTTACATTCTAAAACAGAAATTTTTGAAATCGGCCAAAAAATGAAGGTACAGGCTTGTATCACATTTAAACACGACACCCTGTATAGTAAATTGTGATATCTCCAGTACTGATTGACATAGCAAAATTCAATGGGTTTTTATCTTTAATTAGATAAATTAGCCCATATTTCAGCATTATAAGTGAATTGTCCATATATTAGAATTTTTTTTCAAACCTCGAACGAAGTGTCCTTATAGAACTGTATTCTTATTTTGGCCATTCGAATTCAACTATAAATTTGACCAATTAATTTAAAAATGCCTGTAAAAAATTATGAAAATATTTTCTAACGTCAAATTTTTCACGTTCAGTGGAATATCTTCGCTTGTGTTCACGAAAGATGCCCAGGCTTTATACCTACATTCCTCTTCCGAACTGCAAAGGATATCTTTGTCGGCCACGAGAATCACCATGGCTAGATGTTACCTGCCTCTCCCCGTCGGCGCTAGAGAGGACACGGTTTCTGAAACTGCGTCGGACAACGAACGTGAGGGACAAGACATTTCCACCGATGCCCCTTTAGTTAACGGCAACGCTGAAAGTAAAGAGGGCAGCGTTGAAGATAAGGTGATAAATTAAGTTTGTTGTATGTTTCTCATCGTAATGTTTGGTTTTTTGCGTAGTCGGAAGACGTGAGGTCGAACGGGGAGGAAAACCAGCACAATATGACTGTTTCCAGTAGCGTAGGCGATATAACGATAGACAGCGTGAAGGACCACTTGGGTTCAGGTGAGGAATTAAATCGGAGAATATCGGGCTTATGTGTTACAAAAACAGTCACAACAATCATCAATACGAATGAAGATGGGGTGACCTCATCCAACACTACCACCACGACTACCGCCCAAGCAGCCCAAGATACAAGTAAGTGTTTGGCTTTCATATAGTTTTATTGCTCTGCAAAGTTTTGCTATGCTTTTGTTTTTTCTTTTTTTTTGACTATTACAAATTAAATACAAAGTACGACATCTTTACAAATATTCAAATTCATTTTCAAAATAGTTTTTATCAAGCGATTTTTAAGTTTTACTGTATTAAAATTTTAATTTTTTCTTAATTTTCTTATTTTTAAATGACCATGATTATTTTTATTTATTTCATTTTATTTCTTAATTTTCTACAAACTAAAAAAATGGCAGAAATTCATAATTAATATTTCTATTACACCCTATATATTTGATACGCATATTTCACATTAAATTTATTTCATTGACAATAAAATTGCAATGAATTAAATTATCTGTTTAAGCACAAAATAGCATCAAATTTTAGATTTTGATGGAGTAAATTAAAAAATTTTTAATTTTTGCTTGTTTAAAATAATATTGAAACTACAATCTGTTTATCAGTTTTGTTATACAGGGTGTACAGATTTGATGCGGTATAGTTGTATCAAACTGGAGTGCATTGTATGATTTCGATGATTAATTTTCTATACAGGGTGAATTTTCAATGTGTGCATATACTTTAACTGAGCTTAGCTGATTCTCCATATACTTGTATACAACTACTCATAGTACACAAGTAAATAATCAGGGAATTGATAATAAAAAAAATATAAATAAAACAATAAAATAAATAAAAAAATAAAATAAAAAATAAAAAAAACAAATAACGAATCACTAACTACAGTGAGTTAAGGGTTGATTTCACACCTCACCAAATCAGTAAAAAGTTTTTTTCTCGGTTTCACACCAAAGCTGAAACAAAAAATAGGCAGAAAAAATATTCTACACTATACCCAAGAAATAGCATTCCTTAAGGAATGTGAATTGCTACCCAATTAGCAAAAAACTCAAAAGATATTAGCACTAAAAAAATGCTAATTTTACATAAGCTACTTCAACACGTGGTGTAAATACGTTATACAGTGCAACCCCTTTAATCTGAACACATGTTAATCCGATCACACGCTAATCCGAATGGTCAAATCTGAACGATGACAAGAAAAGACTAGATCGCTTTGCGCGTACGCGCGTAGTTGGCAGTCGTTCGCGCCTGTCCGCCCAATGTCAATTTGTTTGCCGATAGCGAAGAACCTGTTGCGTGTCGTGTTTTGTATAACAATTTTGGAGTTTTTTTGGAAGAAAAATAAAAAATGTGAAAAGCGTAAAATAATACATGAAGACCACAGGGGAAAAGGGGGTATGTCACAAAATGTTAGTTTTGAGAAAATCGAATTTTAAAGTTTGAACACTTACTTATTTTTATCATGTTGATAAATTTAAATAAAAACTTACTAGTTTTATTAGTGAAAGTATATTTAACAAGTCTTTAATAACAGTGTAGCTAAAAACAATATGTATCTATACAAAAAAGTAAAAAAATGAAAGCCATTACCCATTATTCAGGGGAAGAATGGGTATTGTCACAAAAATATACGCATATTCTGGTAAGTAAGGAGGATTGTCCAGTTTTACATTTTCTTCTTTCCACACTTCTTCTTTTTGCCTTTTTCACTTGAACTATTTGTAGTTTTTTCTTGCACATTTCCACTTTTCTTTTCTTCATCTGTGTCAGGTATATTGTCATGGTAATATTGGGCTTCTATAGAACAGAACTTTTTCAGATCTTGCAAATTGCTGAACTTTTTATCTGATATTGGAATGAGGCCTAAAATAATATAAAAACATGAAGATCTAGGCATAACATAAAATACTTATAATAACAGACATACCTTCATATTTTCTATCAGGAAATAGAAATTCATTACGTTGCAGAACAGGCTCAGGCTTGCGCCGCTTCTGAATTGGAGGCAGTATGGGATTTTTCTCCCACGGTCCATTAAAGGAAGATATATGTCATATTAGTCGCGGGTTAACAATACTTGCTTCTATTTCTCTAATTGGGCGTGTTGGAAATGTGCATTTATTGTTATAAGGTAATTGTTTGAAAAATGTATCCCAATCCCGTAATATTTCGTGAGATGTTTCGAGATCTTCGATATGAAAGGGTGTTGGCTTATTTCTAGATCTTTCAATTTCCTTCATCCACTCGTTTGGAAGCTCAGCAGCGTGTTTTGGTTTATAATTGCGATATTTCTGTCACACTCTAAGTAAGAATGTCCTCTAATTGGGAAAGTGATTTTAACAGACTCCAGTTTTTTCCTGATATGAACAATATATATATTTGATCAAATTATAGTTTTTATTTTGCCCTCCGCACGAATCACAAAATATCTCCACATGCTTTATATTTTGGTCAAGGTAATTTTCAATAAAATGGTGTAACATTGAAATAACTTCGTCGCTTCCCTTATTAGCATTCCCTTAACGGACGTATATGGACCTTCCCCGTTTTTATCATTTTTCATTGGATATTCCCCTTTTTTTCCCTGATGCGTGCTTTTCAAATACGAATATTAGCAGACTGTGCTATCTTTTTACAGTGGACACATTTTTATAATAAAGTATTGAGGTTTGCCTACCCGCTGGCGATGTCGGTTCATTTTTTGATATTTGGGACATTCCCCCTTTTTCTCCTGTGGTCTTCACATGTATGTATATGTAACTACATGTTTATGTTTTACCTTATATAAGTTTTGTGTCTTATATGATTTGTATTCATATTGTTATAATAAAATGTTACATAATATACATATGTACAAATCTTTATAGTATGTTCGATAATCCGAACGATTCGATAACACGAACAATGCCTGGCAATGTGGTGTTCGGATTAAAGAGGTTGCACTGTATTCACTTTACTGTAAAGAAAAACGTGTATTAGCAAAACCTAAATCAATTTTAACAAAGCTGTTAAATAAACAGAAGCAGTTAAAAGATTATACAATAAAAAGGACACAAATAAAGTCATAGCAGGCCGTGTAGTGGCAACATCACTGCATTAAGACACCCTGTACATATAAATAAACATTGAAATTTTATGATGCTCTCAAATTTGATAGTTCCAGATGAAATCTGATCACCCCGAATATGCATGTGCATGTTAGTAGGTGCAAGTTGTAGTCATTAGTGCTACAAATACACGGAGACACTGCTGTGTCTAGATCCTACATAAGAGCAGATGTCTACTTGTGTACTCTTGCGAGAGCTGAAGCAGCTCTAGCCGGCACATTGACGTATGTGTAGACACATCTACACTAAATCAGCGAGAGCAATGTCACTGATACTTAATCTAGCCATACTGTCTGGATACTGCTCAATCGGAGACTTCTATTTCCACATAAGTATTTGACACCCATGTCATAACACATTCAAGTGTATTGGAAGTTACAACATACGAGGGGGGTATCCAAAAATAACCGGAATTTCTTTGTAAAAAGCATTTACTTTATTGTTTTTCAAATACACCCTTAATCTACTTCAAAGTACTCTCCATTAGCATTAATGCACTTGTCCAAACGTTCATTCCAGTGTTGGAAGCATCTTGCAAGCACCTTCGTGACATTGACTTTTACGTGTTTGACATCGGCAAAAAGCTTCCCTTTCAAGTCCCTTTTCATACTCAGGAAGAGGAAGAAGTCCGAGGGTGCCAAATCTGGCAAATTGAGCGCGTGAGTCAAGGTAGTTGTCTTCGTTGAGGTCAAAAACTGGCGAACACTGAGGGCCGAGTGCGCGGGAACGTTGTCGTGATGCAGGAACCACTTGCCGGAATTCCACAAAGTCGGAAGTTTTGACTGTTGTTTACTTTCTGGATCGTACCCATAGCACCATGATTCGTCACCTGTGATGATTTTGTCGAAAAAATTTGGACTTTCTTTGAATGCGTGCTTCATGTCATGACGGCTTGAACGCGACAATCCCTTGGATCTCCGGTGAGAAGTCTCGGCACGAACTTTGCTGCCAATCTTCACGTCCCCAAATCAACATTCAAAATTCGCTGAATTGAGCTCCAGGACAACCCGGATAAGTCGTCGAGTTGATCGATTGTCCTGCGTCGATCTTCATTGATCAGATTACGGATTTTCCGGATGTTGTCCTCACTTCGAGCAGTTGAAAGGCTGGAACGGGGTCTGATCTTCAATGGCCATTTCTCCCTTTCTAAACCACAAAAACCATTCGTACACTTGAGTTTTACAAAGAGCATGTTCTTTATAAGCTGTTTGCATTATCACAACAGTTTCCGCTGCGTTTTTGCCGAGTAAAACACAACTTTACAGCTGCACATTGTTCGTAAGAATCAGCCATTTTTTCGTGTTACGTCTGCACTGCACACATACACACAGAACTGCCAGAGAAACCACACTAGTTGCTGTCGGGTGACGCCGCTTGGCGGAATGACTCGGGAGAGATCCTACAACTGCCCTCTGTTGTCGCAACCTGGTACACGAAGCGCAGCATTACGATTCCAGTTATTTTTGGGTCCCCCCTCGTATTTACTAGTTGTTTATTACATAGTTATTAATAAATCCAATTATGCAACGCAATCTAGGGACTCGGCTAGCCATTTTCTTGTTTCATCTGCAAAAATAAATCGCAAACTGCATAATTTGCATCAACATAAATTAATAATAATGTATTACAATATCTTGCTTCTCTATGTATGGTGTAACCTTTTCTAGAAGAACTTTGAAATCAGCAGCAGCCATATGGAAAAAAAAAATATTTTGTAGTATTGCGGATCATAACATTTTACCTCTTAAAACTGAACTGAAAATACTGAACAACCTTGCTTCATTTTTTGTTGGTAGATCTATATTTTCTGTTATTAATCTTTTTTGTAACAAGTACAGCTGCTATTAATTGACGTTTCACATTAGACTTGTATTAAATGTGTCCCTGAGCGATATAAGGATAATACAGGGACTGAATAGTGAAATTAATCAATTATCGGAACACTACTTCACTTTTCAAATGTCACATGTACATGTAAACAAAACGAAGTCTAGCGCCTCAAGTATA